AGTTATTCAATCCTCTAGAACCCCTCCACTAGAGTGGTGACAGTAAAATGTTATTATAAACTGCGCATGTACCCTACCCACACTTCCATGCGAGTTAGCTGAACTAAAATGTCACAATGGAGGACGATATCAGTGCTATTTGGTATACTTGGTAGACTCTTTTTTTTTGTCCACATTGTAGCCATCATCCACGGTACCTATTTGTAGACAAACCTTTGATGCAATAGACGTACATCGCCGTGTTTCCCGGTTCGGGATTGTGGGGCGCAATTGGCCGCATAGCTAGTAAACACATCAAGATTGTGACTGGGACTCGCTCGGCGAAAAACCGTCCCAAAATTCGTAACTCCAAAGACGAAGAAGAAAGTATGAATACGACCGAAAATGAAAGTGATCAAGAGGAAATGGATACAAAAGAAGGTATGCTTTCGATAGCGGTAATTTGTGGCCACTGTTTAGTTAGAGACTAATATAAAGTTTCAAGTGTACGTGTTAAATGAAACGAAGAGATCTGGACCGGATTTGATGTTTGCATACGTTTCCCGGTAGATGCTGTTGACGATTCTTCAGTACCAAATGGAGTTTCTTCCCCCAGTGAACCTCAAGACGTAATAATGGAGGAGGATACAGCAAGACCTGAAGGAATTATTCGTTTCACTGTGCTCAATTTTAGCAAACTTGACAAAACTACCTTGAGTGATCCTATATACGTGAGGAATTTACCATGGTAAGGAAACCAAATTGATACATTTTCGTTTGTTGTGATGATTTGTGATTGTTTACAGTTAGACATGTAACATACTGGACTTGAAGACAGGTTTTCTTAAATTCAGTGGTTCTTAACTCCCAGCATCTGATACTAAGAGCTCTATGTTATAAATGAATTATTAATAATGCTGCAATGAGAGTAGTGCTAATCTGATTAGCTTCTGTTCATGAGAGATCAGTGTCATAAGATTGTGCATCCTCTTGGTATTATTTTAATTTATTTTTGGATGTAAGTAATGTACTTAAACACTTGCCAGAGAAAAGGATTAGAGAATAACGCTTGACTTAACCACCTAGATTACCTAGAAAAAAAACTGTTAGAATGCCTAATTCTCAGTTCGGACATACATCTGTAAATGCCATCATGTCCAATTGTTGGAAAGATTAATGAAATTTTACTTATGCATTTTTATGGCAATGGTTTGCAATCTCTGATATATTGGTCAAAAGCATTTCATGGGAAAAAATGTGGAAATTGTTTTTAAGGAGGAATTTGCGTTCATGTTGTGACTTTTTAGACATTAATGCAGTCCAACATAATGGCTTTCATAACTTTTAGTCGACCGTCATTCTGTAGAGGAAAACAAGTTAGCTCACAAGCAAAATAACGAGTTTAATTTAATGTAAAGAAAAAAAAATGTCGTATGTTCAACAACAAAGAATGAAAAAAGTGCAAGTATTGCTCATTTCTGGATGCATCTTTTAGCCAATTTATCGTAGATTCAAGAGAGAATGATACAGAAATGAACTAAGACGGATAAATGTTTTTTTCTCATTCTACATTCTACATCTAGCTTATATATCAACCCTCCAAGTTAAAGTTTTTGCTTGGTCGGCATTTGGCAACCAACTCTTTTGGTTTAGGGAGACTTTTTCACAAATCAAGTTGCCAGCTGCATAATTTTAGGAACCATGGCAACTAAAATGGTTGCAACTTGGAGTGTTGATATATCACAGGCCAAAATTTAATTCAGGTTAAGATTTTTTAACCCAGCAGGGCTGAAAATAACGGTTGGTCAATGAACAATGTCCGGCCTGATCGTGGACTTGACCGGTCAAACTCTCGTCTTGCCGGTCATTTTGACTGGTCAGTTTTGGATATGAACATTTTATTTTCCATACAGTTGTTGCTTAATGTTCTATGATGCTGTAATGATTTCTTTTTTCTTTGGCTTTTTTTGCTGCTTTACATTAAAACCTTTTAAAGCCTTTTAAAGAATGCTGCCATAAATTTCATGTGGTCATGTCCTACTGAAAAGCAGCAAAGCAAAACATCAACAAACTGAGTTGTGGAGTAACACAACGATGCAGTTCGTACCGGCTTTACTTTCTGTTTGCTATAATCAGTTATGTGACCTTCTGTGGGAGAACATACACTAAAGATAATCTGTTATCTGTTAGAAAACTAAAGGATAGCTAATGATTTGCCGAAAAGCACTGACGGTCAGCCCAAATGCTAGCTCTCTTACGTACGGTTTGTCCAATGCTCTAACGATTTTAATGCTCAAACAGACTGTTCTTACGATCTAACAGTTAATTTGGCTGAACAGCTAACGCCTAATGTTCGGCTTCTAATAAGTAAGAACATTGTAAAAATTGCCTGCTGTCCAGTGATAAATGTTATGGAGTTCGGGCAAATTGATCGCAATTGTTAACAGGTCATCCTGTGTTTCTCTGGGAATAAATGTTAGTGCATCGATTAATAATAATTTCCTTATGTCAAACATGGCCCTCGTTTGCGGACTCGATTCCAGAATAGTCTGTTAAAAATTTTAGCTAATGGAGAACGAACGTCTTCTATCTCGGCGCTTAATTTTCCTTCTTGTAAACAGCTTTATGCAAATTTCTGGTGACATTTGAGGGCTTCATGATAACGTGTTGTGCGATGACCCAAGTGAAAGCTGTGTTGTATATTTATTAACTTCTGATAATAAACATGCTGTCTGTGGAACAGACTTCTCACCAAATCAACTTCTTTGCCGAAAATATTAGTGACGTGTCTTCTTTGTGGAGGAGACTTTTGATCATGTGCCAGGCAATGAAAAAGATCAACTTTTACCGATGTTCATTTCTGAACATCACTGCAGAACATCAAATTATTTTTTCGTAATTCCTAAAGTTTGTTTGACGGTATGTGTATTCTATTTCCAAAACCTTGAGAATTTGAAAAGGATTTACGCTTTACATTTACCTTTAGAAACTTCAGACACTGCTGTACGATGATACTCAAGGTAGAACGGACATAGAAATGTGCGAAAACTGAGGAAGGGAACTCTACAATGTGTGAATTCATGCATTTTGACCAACTTGCCACCAAAAACCTGAAGTTCAATGTAGTAATAATGATCTATTGCCAGCGTAATTCGATATTCCTTAGGCAAAAAATATTACAGTATTCATTATTTGACCGGCCAGAATTGGGGTTTGTCCGGGCTAAAATATATTTGGCTGGTCATCATGACTGGCGACCTGCTGTCCGTTATTTTCAACCCTGCCCAGGTTGATTCTCAATTTCCTATGTCACAAAGGAAATAGGGGATCAACGTAGGTGAAACAATTTTCACCTGAATTTAATTTTGACCTGTAACATTCACACCTGTACATTTGTCATGTTGTTAGGTAAACTTGTCATTTTGCTCATGCATTCAGCTAAGTTTTTTTCTCTGTAAAGTGACAGTCCCCTAAAGGTAACAAAAGCCAAATTATGTGGTGGAAGGGGGTGGGGAGGGGGCACGCAGACAATGGGTGGAAAATTGGGAACTGAAATGAATATCATGCCTTTTAGAGATGGAAGAACGGAAAATGTAGGGACTTTTGTTTTTGATCACCCAACTTGTGGGGAAAAGGTTCTGGGGACTACACTTAGAAACAAGACAAGATCAGAACGAGTTCTAGGCATATCGTGGCTTTTGTTCATTAGGGGACTGTCATTCTGTAGAGGAAAACAAGTAAGTGCATGAGCAAAATTATGAGTTTAATACGCCCAAAAAAATATTATCGTAAGTTTGACAAAAAAGAATGCAAAAAGTGCAAATACTGGTCACTTCTGGATGCATCTTTTAGATACAAACAATGAATATCACAGTTGGGGCATTACTTAGTAATTTTTTGGATTTTAGGTAAGTACTGTAAATTTACATGTAAGTGAAAAGAGTACAGAAAATAACTAAACGAAAATTAATGTTTTTTTGCTTGTTCTACATTTGGTGTCTACATGTACATTTGTCACGTTGTTGCGTAAACTCATCATTATGTTTGTGCAACCAGTTATTTTTTTCCTCTTTAAAGTGACGGTTCCCCAAAAGTAAAAAAAGCCCCTATCATGACATATTGTGGGTTGCTGACGAATTTGTCTATTTTGTTGTAGGCGTATCATGTGTATGCCAAGATACTCTAATCATGAAAAAGTCAAGAGTGTGGGATTTTTTCTGCAGTGCAATCCTGAGGCAGAATCATTGTAAGTGTGTTGGTGTTCTTCTTGTGTTTTACATTGTCAGATCTTGCTATAGCTAAGTTTAGAGGCTGAATTTTTTTATACAGTCAAACAATGTCCAGAACATACCCCAAAGATCAATAAACAGATTAATTCAAAATTGAATTGATCAGTCATTGCTGCTACTAGTATGAAATTGAAATTCAAATCTACCTTGCATCATGCATAATGAATTGTCAATAAATTTATTATTATAAACTGCTTTGTGGTTTTGGTCAGATTGAAAAGTGTTTTAGGCTTTTGAATTTTAAAAATTCAAGAAGAAAACTGAGCGACCAGTTTTAAATTTTAACATCTCAGTAGTAAATTCATTGCAAATTATACAGCCCTCATTGTCTGGGGCAGGTAGATTGTTATGTTGGGCAACTAACTTTTCATTTTATGAGCAAAAAAACAGTATTAAAATATAGGCTGCTTATGTACAGAATGAGTGGAGCTTTTTTTCATTCAATTCTTAATAATAGAAGTCTTTACTAGATTGCATTTAATTCCAGTACGTATATTTTAAGGACAATATTATTTGTCTCATAACCAATAGTATATATGTGGTGTGCTTTATTAACTCATTTGCTGTGTTTCCTTTCTTCCCAAACTTTTTTAGGAGGAAAAGATCTTTCAAAGCATGCCAGAATGAGCATAGAATTTTGCTTTTTGTGTAGGCCTGAATTTTGGATGCTTATAAACTTATAAACATAAGACCTTGAAGTGTGCGATGTGTCAACAGCTTTTTGGCCATTTTTGGTTCTTCATAACCAGATGTAGTGAGGGTGTTTTTCCACAAAATTCCCAGGAGTGACTGGGTAAATAAAAGTAAGCAAGCACACAACCAACAACAGTAACAAACGGTAACAAGAGAGTACTTTATTGTTTAATGCTAGATCCATGGTTTCCACTCAGATTGTTTGTTCTTCGATAGATCATGGTCTTGTCAAGCGTCCGCAAGATTAACACTTGTAACCCAACAGGAAGGAGGAGAGGACTTCAGCAGAAGTGAGTTTTTATTATTATACATTTATAAACAGTGTTCCAAACACATGCTCTTAACTTTATCGTGGACAGGTTTCAGACAAATAATACACTGATTTATTCTCACGCACTTTTATACAATGTAGCTTGATATAAACACTTATTTTGGTTCAAAGTTCAGGTTTTATCGATTGCCTTCATGTCGTGTAGCGTACTGTTACATGTACAGTTATTTGACGCGGTTAATGTCAAATATCAACAATCAAATTAAACTGCAACTGATGCAAATTATTTGAAATGTCATGCTTTACTCGCAGCACTTCACTTTTTACTGGGAACTACTGGTATTACAATGCATCTGTCAGCACTCTGGGTCAGCACTAATAAAAACTGAACTTTTGCGTGTCTCGTGCTTGTCACTTCCCTAAAAAACACAATAAAAATTGAAAAAAAAAAAACTGAGCATAAAAAAATGAACCCTTGAGGTAAAAAATCGGCCCTCGACGCAGTAGCTTCGACCCTAGACACGTTACCCTCGACCATCTACATCTCGACCAAAAGTTGGACTCATTAAATTCCAGGCTGTTCTAGACAGCACAATTTCCACTTAATTCACAAGGTTGTCTGCTTGTCTGGTCTTTGTCTGAAGCTACAAACAAACTATGATGTTAAGAGTAATAGTATACATGTATATAGGATAAACCTGTTATATTTAGTTTGATTTCTCTGTAATTACTTAGAAATTTTGGTGTCAGGAAGATTGGGTGTGGTGTGCACCCATGATTGAATGTGGTGTTTCTTTCTTATAAGAAACCATTGTGATAATGTTTCACTTTATTAATATGTTTCTCTTTGTAGAAATTTCACATCTTTTCTTCTCCAAGGAAAATGATTGGGGCTTTAGTCATTTTGTGGCATGGAATGTAAGTTCACAGTAATTTTTAATTGTAAAAAAATTTAGATAGTTACAAATCTTGTACATATAACTTATTTACAAATATTTATATATATGTGTGGTTGAAATAATTCTATTGATGCCTGCCATTGTGGTGTGCCTTTGAAGAATGCATGGCCAGGGCTGTCGCTAAGTTTTCAGGTTGCTAGGTAAATGCAACAACTAGGTGGGGAATCAAACAGCTAGGGATTTCTGTTGGTTCTATTTTTCTTCTATTTTCCCATGAAAGTAGCTGGGGGGGGGCACGGTCTTAGTAGCTGGGGGAAATCCCCAGCCCCCACCTCTTTAATGACAGCTCTGATGGCAGTAGAAGTGGTTACATGTATTTCCAATATGATAGTTGAGGATTTGGATGTGGAGTTAACATGTTTTGAGTGAGATTAGTATCTAATAATTCCAGATCAGTTTTGATGCACATTGAATTAATACAGGTATTGACTGTAAAGATGGCAGAATTGTTTTCTTTAAGTAGACTTCTGGCTAGAAATAAGCAAATAATAATATATAATAATATATAAGCAAATAGTATGCATTTCCTAATGACCATCTCTCTTTTCACACTACATTTTTGACACAAATTAGCTTTCCTGAAATTTTTGCCTCGGCACTGCCTGCAAATCATTTTTTTCAGTAGCCCAGTAAAGGAAAAATTGTGTGCAACTACATGTAACAGATTCCATCTCTTACCTGTAGGCTTTATATCCATTTTCTTGTATTTTGTACTGACTAATAATATTATTATTATTGTAGTTACAGCATTACTGTTTTAACTAGTTATACATATGTAACCACTGATCAGCAAGTTGATCTGTAACTAATCTTCTTTTGCTGTTTCTGCCCTATAGGATGCTCTGGATCCTAATAAGGGTTTTATAAAAGATGACAGTATTGTACTGGAAGTCCATGTTGCAGCAGAAGCCCCACATGGAGTTGCGTAAGTATGATTTGTACTTTGTCTGTTTTGACCAGGAGATAAGATTACTACAGTAATTTTTTTTATCATTATCATTGTATTTAGGTTTGAGTTGAAGACCCACTTTGACCAATGTTTATTTTAATAATTATAAGAGTGATTGTGTCATTTGGTTTTGTGTTGGAGCCCCCTTTTGCCCAATGTTTTTTTTAATAATTTTAAGGGTGGTTGTGTAGGGTTTGTCATGCAATGAAGTTGGTTTTTTTTTTGGGCTGTTTTGCCCCCCCTTCAGGGTAAAGGGGGCGGAATACCAAAAAAGATGGAAATTGCAATCCAGAAACCCTATCCCCCCCTTTCCCCCCTCCCCCCCCCCCCCCCCCCCCGCCACAGGCATAACCACTAGCTGGATTTTTTCTTAGTAGACCCAAGTTCATCTCCTTGATCTCCTTGGCTACACTTGATAACAGCCAGCTGATTTGCCTCCAGCTAGTTGGGATTTTTTATTTTTAAATGTTGTTATGTTTCTTTCAATATTTGCTTCTATCCTTATCAGTTTTTGGGCATCATTGACAACAGCAATTTTGTGCGCAACCTGTATATAAAGTCATTTTTATCCCTTTTTAAAATGTAATTGAACACTAATATAAACTATTGTACGGTCTTCTCTCTGTAGATGGGACTCCAAGAAACACACAGGGTTTGTGGGACTCAAGAATCAAGGGGCAACATGTTACATGAATTCTTTGTTGCAGACATTATACTTCACAAATAAATTAAGAAAGGTTGGACAGCTTAATAGATTTGCTTTATTGTTAGTCATTTCTGTTTACAAAAGAAAGTTTTGATTAATTATAATTTATTATACTGTATTTTACTAGTTTGAATATTTTGTGTTGAAATAACTTGGTTTATAAATTTCCTAGGCTGTGTACCAGATGCCAACAGAAAATGATGACCCAAACAGAAGTGTAGCTTTCGCTCTTCAAAGAACTTTTTATGAACTTCAACACAGGTTTGATTATTGTATCGTAAGAGAGAGTTAGAATCACATTTATGGCAAAAATAATGGCAAGCAGCAGATTCAAACTGAAAAGTTTTCCAAATACATTGTGCTGTAGAAAGTCTCCAGAAGATGATGTTATTGTGGATGAAGCTATAATTTTTCCTTTTTGTAGGTGTAATAAACGGGTAATTACATGCTGTAAAGGAACCACTTGTTTAAGTGGTACAGACTGATGTTTTCTGTTCACCTTAAACATGTTTCTATATCACTCTGTTTATTATACTCTGATCATTTGTCATGCTGTTATATCCATCATTTCTGTCATTCGTCGGTTAGTCAAGTTGTAGTTACTTTTTTAATAGTCTATTCATGGAAAATGTTTGGGTTTAGGCACACTGGTGTTGATACAGGCAGTTAACACAACTGCAGGGTATAATGTGCGTGTGTGGCTAAGTAAACAAAACATCCATAGCTTTTCAATTATAATTTTGTGAAATTTTTTTCGTTGTCTGTTGTAGTGACAAAGCAGTTGGTACAAAGAAGCTGACAAGATCGTTTGGGTAAATTTCTCTAAACAGTATTACAACCAAATGTAGATACACCTATTTCAATTAAGGTTGCTGATCCCGTGAACCATGTTTCATAGCCTGCAGTGCACTATGGTAAACCCTTTTGTAGCAGGAAGTTTAGTCTTGTTCACGTTCATTGAAATAATGGAGACCACTTGTGAGAAGGCATTCAAGAGAGCTTTCAAGTCAAGTGGCTGCTAAAATTCTTAAGCATGAGCAAGATGAAGAATGTCATTTTTAAAATCTCGCAGTAAGAAATTAGAAGCTTCTTCTTTTAACAACATTGAATTAACAGGGTTTTACCGCCTGACTAAGCTGCTTTCCACATGGGCCAGAATGCTGGTGTCAATAAATCAAATCAACTGGCTATTCTTTTTTCTATTCAGTTTTAAAAAAATTCAAAAAGAGATATTTGCGTAAACGTTAAGTTATTTATCGTAGTTCATGAACAAACACCTTGAATTTGATTTTTTTAAACTCCATCCAAAATTCCCACGCGCACAAGCCAAGCAAACTTGTTGAAAATTTGCAGCATTTGCATATTACCACAGAGAAAAACCTAACCTCAAATTACTGTCTAAGTTAAAAAGCCTAGGATTCAGTGTTTTGAAATAAATTGTCTTAACATTCTGCTGACCTAGCATAGAAGCGTCAGCGACATTTGCTTTCTAGGTTTCTAGGCTCATTGCGGGTACAAAACTTACTAGACTTGCTACAGTAATGCACTGCGGGCTATGAAACAATTGGATCATGCATCATTCTTCTCTGAAGCAACCTTAATTGAAATAGGTGTATACCTGTAGTGATTTTATGATGACTTGTTATGCTAAGTAGTAGACAGAACATAAACTAAGGCCCAGATGCAGATGGTAAATTATTTGCAGAATATATGAGTCCAAAATCACAGCTTGGTGAAAACAAATAGGTCTCCAGAGGAGCACAGTGTATGCAAAGTTACAAACATGGAAAACTTTGTCTAATGATAGGCCTTCTTGTACAATCTTGCTAGCAATAATTTATTTTATTACATGGCTAAGTCTGTTTTCCCCATGTGATTGGTCAATTTGTAGTCCGTAACTTCCTATACAGACCAAACTGTCAAGAGCAAAATGCTCATTTTGCAGCTCTTAATCTTAAGGTTAAAGAAAGATGTCTGTTAACCTTGAGGAATTGGATGTTGACTTTGTCCTTCAACATTTTAATCTGTGTTTATTTGTGAAGGAAAGCATTAAAGATACTGAATCATAATCTTATCACGGAAGAGAATTTAGTCAGTGTTTGAAAATTTTATCGCAGTACACAGTTAAGAAGATGAAAGTCGACTGGCAGAGATTTGAAATGTTTTGGCTTAAGGGAAAACAAGCGATTCCTTTGACAAATACATGTATGATAACAAACATTCCTGTAAACATACCTGCTCCAGATCATCTTGACAAGCTTCTTTGCCATTTGCAATGTTTTTCTCAAAGACCCGCGAAAGAAAGATAGAAGCAACTTCAAGTCAGACGCAATGTCCAGTTTTCAAGACTCTAGTGTCACATTGGCGAGCAAAATTAATGCTTACTGTGCTCTTAGTTTTGACCATTTTAAGCTTTTTCAACATGCACTTTGGCAATTTGATTTTCCTTTCAATGAAAAGCCTTTGTGATGTGCTATTGTTTCCATAAGGCAGTTAAAACTTTCCTTTTTGACGCCTGTCTATCAAATCGGTTGTCCTGCACTTGTTTCCCTTCCCCCAAACAGGAAGTCATGTAAGAAACATTTTATTAGCCTCGTTTTTTTCAGTCTGTACTGTAAATTAAGGATCCTTGTTTTTTCTTCCTTGATTTATGGCCAGTGCGCTTCTTGCTTGGGCCGGCATAAATCCATGGAAAAAAAATCATTCCATAATTTACAGTACGGACCAAAAACTTGACTAATAAGAGTTATTTTGGGCTTTGAGTAGCTTATTGATTCCCAGGCTCAAAGACTAACCTCTTTGTTAGTATGTGCATGCATTGTTAAGTTTCCTGTGATCAGATTTATTGGTGAATTTTGTCTAAGTGATCCTGCAGGTTACAATAGTCACACTGTGAAATGCATTCACATGGTGACACAGAGACCTGTTAAATTACGCTGTACAAGGATATTAGCTAATCATCCTAATTATGATTATTATGTGAATGTTACCCTGTAAACCTTCTTTCAAAATTGTCATCTCTACTTTTTTTGAATTCTTTTATAGATGGGAAACCCTGGATAGTTTTATGCAGCATGATGTTCAGGAACTTTGCCGAGTGGTAAGATGATAATTTTTATGTTTATAGTTTCCATGGAAACTGAAACTCTCTGAAGTGATGTTGTAAGTCCATAATGTTTGCAATGTCGGTAAATACGAAAACCAATAATTTTGAAGGCCGGCTGCCAATACTGTTACGATGCAGTTGATAAACAAGGAGAGACAGTATACTATAATTCTAGTGGTTGTTTGTAACTGTCTTATTACAATTCCTGTATATCAATTGATTCTTTTCTTGTAAAAAGAAATTTTGCAAAAAAAAGGGATTACTGTGGTCATTAGTATGACCTACATAATGTGAAAGTGAAGTGTAACCTGTTGTGTCTGAAAAAATAAGTGTGACCTGTTGTTTAAAAACATTCTTTTCTGATGCAAGAAGAAAGGTTTCATTTTCTCTTCAGTACTTGTCATTAGCATGCTATATGACACAAAGTTGACGTGTAACTTGATGCGTCTGATAAGTATAAAGCGTCACCTTGTCACACCTTATTTTCTTTGACAAAACAGGTTATGTTTCATTCTTACATGACAAAGCAAGGTAATACAAATTATGTAAAATTGCAATATTGCACAACAGATATAACAAAAACACTTGCTCTCTCTAGAGAGCTATTTTTTAATGTCTTAATACAAGTCATGTCTCACCATTTTTGTAATGGTGCATAATGTTTGCACACTACATTATGGGTTTTCAATGTTTTTTTAGCTAATTGACAACATGGAAAGCAAAATGAAGGGGACATGTGTAGAGGTATGTCAGTTATCTTCATGTTTCAATTATTAAACATCACTACAATAACAAGGCTTGTTTGCCGTGTAAGGCACAAAAAGTTTGCCATAAGGAAAATTTGTACTACTAGAAATATGTTTTGAAAATGAAATAATCAGCATGTCATGAGTGTGGGACAAAGAAAAAGTCTGAGTCCTCGACGGGATTCAAACCTATGATCTTCTGAACACTGGGCGGGCGCTCTATCAACTTGAGCTACTGAGAACTCATGGAGAGTGAGGCCATATATTAGGTTCATATTTGACGCGCATCCTGCCTACTGTTAGGATCGGCAATGTCGATGTTGCATTGTGTGGTGAAAGAAATGAAAGATGGTAAATTTTAAGCTGGGTGAAACAAATGTGAAAATGAAGTAATCAGTATGTCATGAGTGTGGGAGAAAGAAAAAATCTGAGTCCTTGACAGGATTTGAACCTATGACCTCCCAAACACTAGGGTAGGAAAGGGTTTATGCATGACGTGTGATTAGGCCCAAATTTGTTGCATGAAGCGTGAAAGTTCCCAGAATAGGAACATGCTCCGTGAAACCAGTTTTTGATGTGAAGCGTGATTTATCTTATAAGATGTGTGGGACTTGTGGATTATTTGTCACATTTCATGAAAATCAGTGATATAGGAGAGATATATTGAACAGGGCTGTAGGTTTCTTTCTTCACGTTACGTTTTTGATTTGGTTAATAATTACTATCTAAAGACGGCAGACCCTAAAAACTGCCCGTGACCAGTAGTGACCTTTGGGATTAATTCGTCCACTTTGGCAATTCTTGTGTTGCTTCGTTTTCGTGTTAGGCTGGGTGAATTGCCCTAACAAAAGGCCTTGGAGGTGACAATCGCTGTAGCCTTGGCACAGAAGGCACCGGTTTTCTTAGGGTGAAGGGAGAAGTTTTGAGGACGCGCCCTTGCTGTGCGGACGAAAAGAGCAAAACTAACCAAAAAACTAACCTGTGCCTGCCATGCAGTGGCTTCAGTCGCTAGGGGGTAAAAAGAAATTGCATTGGGCATGTTGATGTGTTTTCAATTTGAACGCAAGATGCCTGGAAACAAAAGTTTCCTACATCCACAACTGCTTGTTAATGCCCTTTAACATTGCACCACCGACATTCTAATGAGAGGAGAAGCAGGAAGAAACTGCGAGCGTCGATTAATAAATGTGATTTGGGATCCACGATGACTGTGTTTTGGTTCTTAGCCCCGTTGATCAGAGGCAGCCCAAACTCACGTTACGAGGGAAGGGTGTAATGTAATTTACATACCATAGGTGACGCGCCGGTGTCACGTTACAGGCGACCGTTGAAAATATAAAAGAGACTTCGTATGAGAAATATATTACTGAGATCTGCAAAGGCTAAATAACGCTAAAGCGTACTTTTTCTTAAATGAAATGAATAAAAAAGACTTACTTGCAATGTATTCCACTGCATTTTGGTATCTGATTGTCGTTTACTGGTTTTTTTGGCTTTATTGCTTAACCACTGTTACTCCTTTTATAGAACGAAGTGAAGGCTGGTCAGATTGACCTGTCGGGGTCTTGGACCAGTCACAACAAGAATGCCTTTTTTTTGCCGAAATTCAAATCCACTGCAAACTTTTCATCTCCAGCCCAAGAGGGAAACCTCTTCTTCCTCTCTGGGAGATCAGCTCGAAGAAAGATCCATAATTCCCCATCAAATCGAGCCATTTGTGCCGGACTTCGAGGCACGTCTGGCTTTCGTCCAGTGCCTGTGACCACTGTCGCGCTTACCAACTAATTTGCATTATGACAATTAGCACTTACACGACGGGTGCCAGGGCGGAAATGACATGTCAACTAGGCTCTTGCACTGTGAAAAAGCGAGTGCTTGCACCCGTCGTGTAAGTGCTAATTGTCATAATGCAAATTAGTTGGTAAGCACGACAGTTTGAAGCTGGTGGAGATGTATTTATCATCAATTCTTAGATACATGTAAGGAAAATAAGCTAAAAGGCATATTTTAAAGCCATTTTGCATTATTTGGTTCAACGGCCAATCGATGTATGGAGGTGAAACCAGTCTTTGACCCATCTGGTCACATTGGCAGGGAAATTGAGAACCAATTTATTGAGGGTTTGCCTTGGTGTAACTTAAATTAAAGGGAAAAGCAAGGTTTTGATTGTAAACACACTTCCGACAAACAAACATATCCCGCGACCTATAAAGTCATAAAATTGTCTGCGAAGTGAGACAGCATCTTTTAAGAGTTTGTTTATGGTTTGTTGCTAGGTGACTGTGACTTTCTTTTTCTTTTGTTTCAACTTCATTAGCATACATTACCATACCCAAAAACAAAAGAAAAACAAAAAGTACCTGAGATAAAAAATTAACTACAACTTATACATACTCAACTCATGTCCAGGGACATACGTGATCACAAACCCTGCTATCGCAAGGAATAACAATTTAGCTAGCCGTGGGCTCTCTTACCCTGTAAATTTTGGGGTAGTCAAAAACCCGAATACGTCATTACATGTACCAGGGTTCCAACTGAGGACACATCTTTTCTTTCAATAGTAACAACAAAAACTGTGTAGGAATATTTTATTTAGTACTGAGGCACTTCAGGTAAAAGAGTAGTGTCATAAGAAAAAAAAATCAGTCATTTTCAGTGTTGTTATAACTTGCTTATTTTTGATATGTATGTACATTTAAATATCACTGTATTATGTTCAACATGTCGACTGAATTAATTTTTCAGGGCACAATTCCCAGATTACTAGAAGGGAAAATGTTGGTGAGTACGGTTTTGTGATTTTTTGCAATTTTGTTTTGTTCTTTGTAGGGAAACTCTTTCTCAACTTATTTTCCTTCCCATATAATTGTTATTAATTACACTTGTTTTCTTTCGACAGTCCTATATCAGATGTACAAATGTAGACTATGTATCACAGAGGTAAGCAAAGTATTTTAATTAGGCAAGTAACAAAATTGGCCATAACAAAAGGAGACCTCTGATGTAAAGTTTTGCTTGAGACCTCTCTCAAAAGTTCCTTTTAACCTATCCGGTCAGGCAGTTGGTGTAGTAAAGAATGATGCTCTTGTAACTGTACATTCTGCCTGATTGCTCCAGCTCTTTGTGTTGCATTATACACGCATCTAGACTTCTATAACCATGCAAAAAAAATATGTAGAGAATTCCCAAGGTATTCTCAAAATTCTAAAACTACCCAAGGTACTACAGGTACTTCAGTTGCTATCAAAAATTGCAGTTTCTTGTAGGAGTATCTGTATTGTGAAATTTGTCTTTGATTTCAGGGAAGAACCATTTTATGATATCCAACTGAATGTCAAAGGAAAGAAAGACAGTAAGTAAAATAACTCCTCCATGAAGATTTGTACAGTGTTTTGACTGTATTTTTGCTACTCTGCATGTGGAGTGTTAGTAAGTGCTTGTATGATTAATGGATAAATATTCACCCTAAATGGCCTGACTGTGGGCCTGTTACCATTTTTTCCTTCAAAGTACAACAGTTACTAGACATTTTCCTGAGCTTTTGCTCCTTGGTTTGTTCTTATTATTTTCATCCCAAAACGTTGTTGCCAAAATTAATTCCAGTCTGAACATAAACATGAAACATACACTGTTGTGACTCAGGCTATTAGGTAGAAAACAGCTGATTATAAATTGTTTGTCTGAGACATTACACCTTTTGAGCTGGTAATTGTTTTGTTTTTCCAATTCAGACCATGTGATGTTCTCCAGGAAATACACCTGTTATCTTTTCGTAAATTGCATGCACAATGCGCGTTGATGGATGTGCATATAGTAGGATGACATGAAACAGTTGTCTGGGGTAGCATCTTGTGGTCTAAAATGGGAAGACAAAACATACAATTTAACAGGTCTCTAGGGTACCTTGATGTTACAGCTTTCTGTTACTGTTTTGCAGTTTATGAGTCTTTTAAAGAGTATATTGCTGTGGAAACATTAGATGGTGACAATAAGTATGATGCAGGGGAATATGGTCTTCAGGTTAGTGTCAAATTGTTCTTGTTACTTCATAGTATGGGTATAATTCTTTATCAAGTTGTCTGATGAGGATTTTATTACAGTCACTAAGGGCGCTTTCTAAAGTCATTTGTGGCTGGCCAGACTGGTCAATTTTTTAAAATTATCCAAAAACTCATCTCCTTTGTGCACACCATTTGGGAATAAACTGATCTGGCTGGAAAGTAAAATAGTGAAATTGTCTTTATGACTGCACTGGTCTGGCTAGTCAGTTCTGATGGTAAGTGCCCTAAATCAGAATCTTTAGTCCTGTTATTTTTTTGTGACTTAGCAAATGGCCCTATAGTAACATTCTGTCCAAGATTACAGTTAAATGCATATTTGACAACCTTTTACTCTAGCAATCAGGAGGAATCTTTTAAAATTTCAAGTTTTTGTCTTTATCATTGTTTACTGATGTCAATACTAAATTGCCTGGTGAGATTGGTAGACACCTGACAAACAAATCCAGTTGAGTTTTCAAGTTGAGTTTGATATCCAATAGATCAATACTGTAAGAATTAAAATGATGCTTCTTTTCAATTCATTGCAAAGTTTAGAAAGGTTTCTTCCTCTTTATAATATTGTCAAAGATGTTGTGGTTACACTGTGTTACTATACATTTTTGTATTCGTTTTGTTCTCATACTAGGAAGCGAAGAAGGGTGTAATTTTTGCTAAATTTCCTCCAGTCCTTCATCTTCAGTTGATGAGATTTCAGTATGATCCCATGACAGACACAAATGTTAAAATAAATGACAGGTTTGTTTGCGTTAAGATTTGTAAATAGGTATTAACATTGAATGACTGTCCACTTTCCTTTTAAGACAAAGCTCCATTTAGACCCGGGGGGGATGCTTGTCGTAAAATTCAATAAAATTAAACTCCAAAGGGAGGCCAATGTAGGTGTGACTCAGTAAGGGTTTTTTGGTTTTTGACCCCTAAAAAAGACCATACTAAAAGAGATATCTAAATAAGAGCGAGACTGTTTTTTATTGTGCTGAAGATGTTAACATAGAATGCGTTCTGTGTAGACAGTGTCACAGCATTTTTTGTAAATTTCTTTATGCACAGCCCTACGTGATACCTGAATGGGCAAATATAGTGACTTTCCGTCCCAAATACCCTAAGTGAGACCATGAGCGATGAGCATCCCTGTCACTTGTATATGGGAGTCTCCCCTCGGCATTAAGCATTGTAATTCATAACCCATGCCTAGACAACAAGATACACCTCAGTTTTCTGAGGTTAAGTAGAGTGACTGAGTATAAGTAAATGAGTATGCATAAAAACCTGCCATTTGAATACAGAAGATTAAGGCTGTTCATATGGCACCGGATGAACTTTTGATCGGTGAAAAATTGCTGTGTTTGAGTTTGCTGTTGACATGGTACCACATAAACTGCACAAGAATTCAAATGCCTATCCATTCAAAGTTAATAATAATTTTATTATAATAGATCAGCTGAGTATAAAAAAAACAGCTGGTATAAACCTATGTGCAGTAATAAAATTTTTCACGACTAAAAAAGTAGCGCATAGTAAAAACGCGGAAAGACTAATATATACAATAGAAAAAGTACACGTTAAAAAAAAATAAAAATAAATAGATAAATAAATAAATAATTAAATAAAATAAATTAATTTAAAACATAAATTTATTATGTGTTTTGTCTTTATTTTTAAAATATTTAAATGTTTTTCCTTTTAATGTTCCTAAAATTAGGCCATCACCCCTTACTTGATCCTTTGCTTTAGTAAATTTAAAAGTAAAAAAAAAAAAAAAATAAATAGATAAATAAATGAATAAGTAAATAAAATGAATTAATCTACAACCTACATTTATTCTGTGTTTTGTCTTGTTCTTGCAAATACTTAAATGTTTTTCCTTTAAAAGATCCTAAAATTAGGCCATCAGCCCGTAATTGATCCTTTGCTCCAGTGAATTTAAAAGTAAACTGGCCAATAGTGGATTTTACTTTAGGCAGATCGGATCTCAAGGTCATATATAATTTATGACGTCGCGAAGGACAATGTTGATTGTTAACAATTTTGAACTCTAGCTAACGCATATATCTTATCCTACTAGACAGCGTTAAGAGTCCTAGTTTGTCTATCATAGTTTGTGAACAAGTCAGGTAGTTTGCCCTTAAGATAGTCCTCATAGACTTGTTTTATAATCGTCTTAAAAAATCAGCGTTTTTGATGGAGCAGGATCCTTATATAATGGTAATACAACCGTAATCTAAAACAGGTAAAATTGTCGCTTTGTAAATCTTCAAAAGGGTAGTTGTATCCAGAAAGGACAAAATCCTATGCAGCAGCTTAACTTTAGGGTAGACTCTGGAGGCGACATAAGATATGTCAGATATGTGACTGTTCCACGACAACGATTCGTCTACTATCACACCGAGGTACTTAAAGGATCTCTTCTGCTCTAGAATCGAATCACCGTAAGGTATACGCACATCTCTGGCCGTTTTTACGGCTCTGTGTGATGGAATAACCATTGACACTGTCTCTTTCGTGTTACCAAGAAGACCGTTATTAGAGAACCACTGGTTAAAGCTTTTGAGATCCTCATTAATTCTGTACTCGGCCTCGCCAACGACTTTGGAACCGATTCGAATGTGGGTATCGTCTGCGAATAACGCAACATCAGAATTGTGAAATGCTTTAGATATGTTGTTTATATGAATTTTAAACAAAGTTGGACCCAGGACCGACCCTTGGGGGACTCCAAACGGGAGATGTCGAAGCTTAGAAGCGGATCTCTACATACAACAAATTGAGATCCGCCTAACAGGTAGCTATTAAACCACTGAGGAGCGTTCCCTTTAATACCATAAGATTCAAGTTTGGCAAGCAGTATATCATGCCTGATGACATCAAACGCTTTTCTTAAGTCTAGAAAAACGCAAACAGACTTTAGACCATCGTCGATGGCAAACTTCCAAGAGTCTACTACTTGGAGCAATGCCACTGTCGTTGAAGAAAACTTGGAGTAGGCGAATTGATGCTGTTCTATGAGACCGACCTCGTGTGCAAAATGTCGCTAGTCGGTGTTAAAAGTTCCGTGAGAAGAGAGTGAAAACAGTGAACAAACCTCTGTGAATGAAGCGTCTGGCCAAACTTTGCATCCGGTCGAAAATTTGTCTGATGCCCTGTAAACGTAGCCTTACTGCACACAACTTTGCAGGGACATCAAAAAACGGTAAAAGCTTATCAAAAATGATGAATAAATAGTATTCTTGAAGAATTCAATGCATAAGTTTGCTCTATATTTTTGTAGCAATTTGCACCTGATACTTAATGTCTGTCACAGTGATGATTCCCTTTGTTTTATATTCACAGATAAGTCACTGTGTTTTGCGAGGTGTGTTTTGTTGAAAAAGTTTTGTCATCCTTGTTAAAATTTCAGATGTGAATTTATGGAGAAGCTCAATTTAAATCAATTTCTTCAAGACCCTGCAGATCATTTAGGACATTATACATTACATGCTGTTCTTGTACATAGTGGTAAGTGCAGAGCATCTTTTATTGTGGGAAAAAAAAGACCAAAAAAAAAAACGAAAAAAAAAACAAATTAAATCAGTTGCTGCATGTCTGCATGTTACCTTATAGTTTTCACTGTTCCTTTATAATGAGGAAATATAATATGTCCGAAGGATTTCCAGAATTTCTCACTTCATACAAAATTTATTGACGTTTAATTTTACTTTAAACAAGTGCTATGCAACTATACCACTTAATTCACACTACACTATGCCAATACACCGTAATAATGCATGTAAGCCTGTTAACCCAACCTGGACAGAGTGTAGGTATAAATTTTAACAGTTGAGGGTTGATTATCACATTTACGGTAAGGTACGTTTTTTTTACATCTGCCTTGGAACTGAAGTGTACAACTGCACGTGATTTTTTGGGGTTGCAACTGTTGATTATTGATGCAATTTTTGGTCTTCAAAAACTACATCTTTTTCTTGTGAACTCTCGTCCTTTGCGTCACTGACAGACGTTTGCTGAGTGAAAGTTGTCTTTTGTTGTGATTCTGCTAACATGGCGTAAATCTTCGTTTTGGAGCATGTCACTTGGCAAGTTTCTCTGGTAGGGCCTCCTAGTATAATTCTGGCCTGGTTGTTCACGGATCTTGCCCCATACCATGCATAAAAGTCGTCATTCTTCTGTCTTAATTACATGTACCACTACAAACTAGATCAAAGTTCATTTAACAATAATTTGCTGTAATGATAATGTGCTGTGTCTTCTCAATAACAGGAGATAATCATGGTGGACATTATGTGGTCTACGTTAACCCGAAGGGTGATGGAAGGGTAAGCCGCTGACTTATGTATCTTTATTATTCCTTGTCTTGTTCAAAAACATCAACAACAGCATAACAATGTACAGTATGTATATGTGGAACAATAGCAGAGGTAAAGATAATAGTTGAAATTGTAGAGATTATTTAGAATTTTAAATGTTGTAATGCTGATAGGAGTATCAACATTGACATTTTCATTGAGTAGTTAGTACTGCATTGTTGTTAAGAAACTGTGCTCTAGTCTCCAGTTTTCTTTTCTTTTTTCTTGGAGAGGCGGGGGATGGGGATAGTGCTTATTGTTAAGGTGTGATCCTCTCCAGTTCTTTTTCTGGGAATTCTCAGCCATGTCTCAGCAGCAATCCCGCAATAGCAATAGCAATCCCACTTAGAGACGTAACACTTTCCGCAAGACAACAGCAGTAGTAGGATGACGGGCCTGTGCTGCTGCTCCACAAGACACCTGCCGGACGCGACACCTTCGCTGTTTGCTCAAGTCCCGTTTACGTCGTTGGAGTAAACTTCAATATTCCACATTCTCTCATTAAAAAATGAGGTTGCGCTTTAAGGTTTCCACGAACCAGTTGGTTTATCGTGCCACCATCACTAGACAGACTGCTAACCAAAGCTCAGCGAGTTCCATCTACCCTCATCAAGGTAGTCTATACCGCGCCAGACTCCAACCTGGCATTTTCCTTTTTTGGTAGAGGGGGACCCATGTCCATTTACCATATCTTCGCGGGCAATCGTAACCCTGACTGAGCTTTTTTAGGGGTGCTGTTAATACAGGCGTATGCTCCGTTTAAGTAAATACAGTAAGTGCCATATTTCTGATATAGTCATGTTTTCAAATTTTAGTGGTGCAAATTTGATGACGATGTTGTATCATTGGTAAGTGAGTAGTAGGGTGAATTTACTGCCCTTTCATGAGTGTGTCAATCTTTTTATGATTCCTCTCTCACATACAGTACCTCAGAAGATCGTTTTTCTCTCTTTTGCTGCTTTGGCGATGTTGATCTCTAATCTTACACTCGTTACGCTTATTTTCACGTCCCTTATTTATGGGTGCGCTTGTATTGTCGTATTCTTCTATTATAAAAATGCAAAGAAAAATTGTAGGGAATCCCTTCTATAAGAATTTCTGAGTGAGTGACACCTCGCGAGCTCAACTACGGTGGCAACAAGAACTTTATAAAGATATGAGCAAAAGAACAGATCTGCACGTGAATTATACTAGGCCGCTTGTGCAAAGACGTTTTTGAGCGACGCACGTCAACCGGAAGTAAGCCTTTTTCTCTTTCAACATGCCTTGACGCTACAGATTTGTATTGCTTAGTGTTTTTTACTCTTACAGAGACGATTTGCCCGAACATTTGATCAAAATCACAGCTCACGATTGCCAAAAGTTCACTTCCGGCAGTTGACGTTCATCACTCTAAAACCATTTGGCACATTTCTTTGAAGTCTACTTCACGACTACGACGTGAAACGCAACGTTTTATGAAGGACCTAAGCACACAACTGGATGACGAGTTTTCCTTTCTCTTTTTTGATCATGGATACTGTCCTCAACATCCATCCCCCGGAGGATTCGTTCACTTGTAACAAATTGAGTGGGGCTAAATAACCGGACATTAATAGAATTATGTGCAAATTCATATTTAGTGACGTTTTCACTGCTGTATTCGTCGTGGTTGTCTGCATCTGTAGGTTGGAATGTAATAATAACAATGATACTGAAATTAATTTTCGTTTCATTATATCAGGCTACCAAAAAAGAAGCAATTGACAATAACTTTGGAGGATATGAGGTACAGTATACAGCAAATATATACTGACAGTTGTCTCGGAGTTGGTTATGATTATAAAATTAAAAGGTACAAGGATGGTGCGCAACTCCATTAGGATTTGCTCCACGTCATCACCCCGGCCATCACTCTATCTTATTGCCACTTTTCAGTACCAAAATGACGCAGTTTTCAGCGATATTTAAAATTCTATTTCAGACAGAACGAGCATCTTTATCTGTTACTATCTGATCAATGTATTGTTATTTTGCAGGATGACATAACTGTAAAACACTGTACAAATGCGTACATGTTAGTTTACATCAGAGACAGTGAAATGAGTAAGTATCACAGCATATTATACCAGTAATCAGTAGAAATTTTTTACAGTTTTTTTTGTTTTTGCGTGACAACTAATACCAGTGGAAGTACATGTAGCTAGCGACAAGCTGCATGTAGGCTACAAGTTGAAGAGAGAAAGGGAACTTTCTTCAGTTCTATTTTCAGCATCATCAAGGGCCGCAATGTGTATTTTTTCGGTCACCGGTCGTTTCGATGTAAGTCGTAATCTTTCGCCCGATTTAATAGCGCCGAAAGAAGGACGACCTCTCCCGAATTCGTCACTCGCGCTGCCGCTTCGTGGCCTAAAAAGCCTGGGCTCGCCCTGCTCTCTTTGACTCGTGAGGTCCTGTGGCAAGTCTAATTCAGTCGAGGTGTAAATAGTTTCACGTACTTGGCTTAGAGAACGAGGAATGTTTTTCTTGTTCACGTGCAAACTATGCGTGATGCGATCGAAATTGTTGTACAGTTTCACTGTTTGAGTTCGTATCGAAACGACCGGTTTGCATTGATTCAATTCACGCTCTTTGACGTCTGTAACGAGAAAAATCTTAGCGTATGTAGTGCTTTGACACTGCACGACGCCACTTTGCCTACTGGAAATCAGAGAGTGAGAATATTCTCAGGTCTAGTCATGACTTGTGGCCTGTTTGGTAACGTTCACATAAAAAGGAGGAACCTTAAGCATCGACGACGAAAGAGACGGCGACAGCGAACTGCACCGTGAAAAGACTGGATCGTGAACGTCGTTCACGGCGGGAAAATTCGAGATTTAAGCGCTCGCTTGCTGTGGACGACGAGTTTTCCATGTAAACAAAGGAAATGCGAATGAGCGAAGTACTCAAAAATGTCTTTTCACGGTCTGCCCTAAACGTTCCATAGCGCTTTGCCTGTGTTCCTCTCGAGCTGCTCCTTCTTCCTTTTCTTTTTTCTCGTCTTCGGAGCTTTTTTCGTCGGCCAACTTAATTTTCCTGTCAATTATTTCTTTGAGAGCTTGGACTAGTTCGGTCTCTAATTCGCAAGTGTTTCCAGTGGCATTTTCCTCTTGGCCTATTTTCGCTTTATGCTTGGTAATCAGCAAGGTCGGCAGTCTGTTTCTCATGAATCTTTTATTGGCTTTGATTTCCGTATGATCAAGGCCACTCAGGTTTACAGCTATCTGGTTCCATACATCCCTCCTTTCCTTGCTTTTATACGGATGTTGATAGCCAGGGTTCCATATCATAAACACTTCTCGGCATAACACCAAATCATGTTTGTCTGACTATTCCACCTCCTTTACAAAGAAAAATAAAACCAACGGTTTCTAATGTTTGGCGACAAATCACTACAGTTCTTAAAGAAAAAAAGGGCAGAACAAGTTGATTTTGCACCTTTTTGACCTGTAAACCTTTTTGCTTCGCGAAAAGCTGGAAAACACAAACAAGAAAGTTTTGATGCGACTCGCTGGTGCTTGTTTGCGAAGACCTATATCAATCGATTTTCTGGTGTTTTAAGTACAAAAATACAAAGAAAATATACGTTGAAACTCGAATACGCAGTTGATATGAAATTTCTTTCAGGAAAGTGGATTTAAGGGGTAAAAATACGAGTAAATTTACTCACGTTCACTGCTGGACGCCAAACCACGGGTTTTCACGTTCTCAACAGCATCTGGACGACGAGCCGTGCGTGTGCAGTAGCGTTCAACTCGCCTCGGCCACTTCCGGTAGGTCGCCGTCGTCCCATTCGTCGTCAATGCTTAAGGACCCTAGTGAAGGGAGTGAACAAATCAGGTTTAATATGGACAGCTATTTAAGTTGGCAAGGCTCGGTAAAAAAGTGAACTCTTCGATGGGAAACGCCCTTATTATTACTTACAAAACTGATTTCGAACCCAAAACACAAACCTGGCTTCTACCTGTCATAAGTCAGAATTATGTGAATAGTATAACTGAGGCTTGGCTTTGAAGGGATAGAGAGAATGAAAGAAACGGTGCCAATTTCATCCCTCGCACGCATCCCGGCAATGTATGAATTATAATAACGGTGTGTTGGTGTGAGATATACCTTTGGACACGTTTAAGGTTGATTCTGGTTTTCATTTGCTCGTTACGATCACTACTGCCTTAGACTACGAGCAGTCTCTCTTTTTTCTTGGTCCGTCGAGCAAAATGCCCGAGACACGCAAATGAGCACGCGCGTGACTGAAGGCGCGAGACGGGAGAGGCTCTTTTTTCTTGTAGGGCTGCCGCCCTCGTTTCTCGTGTCTCGCGCGCGTGCACTCCCCTCACTAAATTTGAAGAAAAAGAGAGACTGCTCGCAGTCTACTACTGCCTCACCGAATAATTACGACCAAATCGTCGGTACTGACTATGTGAAAACCACTCTTGAAATAGACTGAAGTGAATTCCATCTCAGCGATCGTCGTCGGAGTCGCCGCTGTGATCGCTACTATCTCTGAAAAAGCAATAACGATCTGACTAGTCGTAGTGTTTATATGAAAACCGGCCTTGAAAGTGTGTCGCAGACATCACTTTTATCCGGCCGTGAAGAGTTGTTTTTATATAAGCGCGGTCGCTGAACTTTCCGAGTTTAAGGGAACGTCAGTAATGGAACCGGCTAATGTATTTGTACGCGTAATTTATGTTTCTCTTATTTTATGGTACATTTACAGGGGATATTTTAGAGGATGTAGATGAGAGTTTAATTCCTGAGACACTTGTACAGAGATTACAGGAGGAAAAGTAAGAAACTTAACGTAACTTTAATTACCCATTTCTGTGCTCTAAGCTACGTTATCTACGTGAGGTCTGGGCACAACCATTTATACAAAACTGAGTTTCATTTGTGTGTGAACGAAAACACATTTTCAAACTGTATTAAGGTATCATCCACCCTCAAACGCCCTCCTCACGTTGATCGGCGCTAGCGCTTTTGCTTTCAATAAATGCCCCATAAACCGTACATTTTCTGAAAGCTTAATAGTTCCAGGTTGCTGCTTATTCCTTTTTAAGAATCAAAATATTAACGCGATTCAAAAATGAGAAGCTTCTTGTGAAAGTGGTTGTCACGGTGAATTTAAGTCCTGGCCAGCCAAAAGTAAACGGAATAAGCCAATTACGATCGCATTCGCTTCCTAACGCGTTTGACAAAAAAACCGTGTCTTAGATTTTTGTCTAGTGCGTTTGTTCTTTTGTTATAAGCATTTGAAGTTAAAGATAGCAAATCATTAGCACTACCTGTGAAAAAATACTCTAACTCGAAAACGAAAAAAGAAATCAAAATTCGAAGAGACGGTTTTTTAGGAAAATTATATGACAGCCGGTATGCTGGCCAAATTTCAGCCAAATTGGTTCACGGGTTGCCGACTTGGAGTTCAAAACGTACCTTCAACCACAGGTAGCCCAAGCTCGAAATATGAGCATCGGCGAGCATCGGCATTGTTGCGTAACATTCAAAATATAAGGATTTGTATGGGAAAAAAACCTATCGTTTCTGTAACCTACGAAAATAGCCGGTATGCTGGCCAAATTTCAGCCAAATTGGTTCACGGGTTGCCGACTTGGAGTTCAAAACGTACCTTCAACCACAGGTAGCCCAAGCTCGAAATATGAGCATCGGCGAGCATCGGCATTGTTGTGTAACATTCAAAATATAAGGATTTGTATGGGAAAAAAACCTATCGTTTCTGTAACCTACGAAAATTAAAGGATTTCAGTAAAAAAACAGCTTACCTTACTTAAAATGTGTTACGTCTCTCCTGTGTGGTACACGGGCCGATTTATGGGTTTTTATGTAAACGGTGAGCAGATCGCGGCGGAAGAGAGAGCTAATCAAGTATGACAGGACTTGTCGACGATCAATTAAAATAATTAGCATAGGAAAAACTTTTGCGCTCCACAAGTCTGCACTGAAAAAAACTTTTTTTCCTGGAATTTTTTTTAAAAGAAAGCTCTTGACGAGCGTTATGTTAGGTTCTGAAAATTGCAAATTTCGAAAAATGATAATTTTTTAACCTTGGATGATACCTTTAGCGATACAGGTGCAAGAGCTTCTCTGGTGTGCGCTTAATACACTTGCCCTCTACACACCGGTTCTTTTTACAGAAAAGATGGGAGGAATAGTTTCAGACTCATTGACGCTTGTGTCAACTATGTACAGGGTGTCCGTCTCATGAGTAGTCCCTGGTAAGAGGCAGGGAAAAAGTTACAGGCTCTTCCCTTCTCTCTTCCTGCCGTTTTTCTCTCGCTCGCTTTTCGCTGTTCGCGCGCTTTTTTTCGGTCATCTGCACCGACCGAGAGCCCAGCACGGACTAACTTAATACAGGTTTCATTGTAATTGTTTTTGGCTGGGGGTTGGTTTTCAGGAGACTTGAAGCACAAAGAAGAAAGGAAAGGCAAGAGGCGCACTTGTACATGACTGTAGACGTAAGTTGAATGCTGTTTGTATTTACAAGTATATTTCTGGCTTTTGCTCCCTTATATATTTCTTTTTGAGAGAGTATGAAAATCGCAGTTAATCATAGGAGTTTATTCACCGGCTCAAAAGTTAGAACTATTTTTGACCAGTAAGAGGGAAGGATTTTTGAAAGTTACAATGTATATTGGTAGTTAAGTATTTCTCCTACCATAATTATGAGGTTTAAATTGTTAGACATATATTTGAAGCTGATTTTACATCCGTGGCTTCTTAGGGCATTCTTGTGTTGCGAGTGAATAGAAAGCATTAATTTGTACTTAATTTAATGGGTTTAACTCTTTCGTGGTAGGTTAGGTTTTTCGAGTCACATGCGTGCGTTCGTCAAAACAGCCACCAAAATCCTTCAAGTAAACCACGGACAGTTTCTAGTATTATTTATTTGGCGTTCCTTCAAGTCCTTTTTATTGCGGTTTTTATCAGGTTGTCACCGAAGACCAGTTTGCTGGACACCAAGGATCTGATCTCTTTGACGTGGAGAAAACCAAACCAAAGTTAGTTTTTACTGATGATAAATTAAGGTGTTTCAGAACAAGCATGGTTAAAGCTCGCACAATGACAGTGGTCACGAAAAATGCATTTTAATTGCTAAGGTAACGTGCAGGACTTGTTCTGCTGTTTCACCACGATTCACCCCAGAAGCAGAGTTAAGTGGCAAGGGGCTCGTTTCTTAAAATTTCCGATGATTAACGGACCCGGCGGAGAGCTGTTGTTGTTTTCACCAGCTCGCTAGACAACAACGATCCTCAACAATTTTTCTCTCTGTATTGGCTCTGCTGGATCACGTGCTGCTGCTGTTTTTGGTCAATTCTGTGTTTAAGTCATTACTTTGTGCCTTTACCCATACACGAAATGCTCCTGTAGAGTTATGAAGAGGATATCAAACAAGTTTTATCACTTACCACTAAACATAATATGTTTTGGTAGTTTTGCTGGCGTAGTATTAAAACGTAGAAAAAAATGGCGCATGGTTTTCAAGTTTCCATCCATGCCCATTCCTGCCATCCGTAGCAATGATATGAAGCAGTTTCAATGCCTAATGTAGTCTTGGATAATGAAACTGGACCATTGTAATCTAAATGTTGCACATACACGTTGTGGCCTTTCAAAAAGAGTTATAGCAAACAGCGTAACGTAGCCCTTTCGACCTTTCTGTCGGATTGAGTGGACCTGTGGTTCCTTCTGTCCACGCCCGCGAATAAGTCGGATATGCGTTTAAGAGTTCTTCACCTTATTTTCATTTGAGTTGCTTTAAATCAGTGAGGAAGTTATAGCTTTCCTGTCCTATGAAACTGTCCACCATTAATATGTGTTGCCCCTATCGACTAGCTAGAGATATTTAGGGGGTACTTATTCTTCTTCTGTGATTATTATATTAAAGCTGTTTTGTTGAATAATTGATCACTCATGACTGTGTACCTCCTCTGGGCTCTCTAGGAATTGCCCTTCCAAATGTAACCAGTTTGGTAGGTTTTTTCAAATGTTCTTTTTTACGGTTTGTAGGAGTTTCAAAGTTCTAAAATCAAAGAAACTTCACGAAGTATTGGATATCCTGGCCGAGGGTTTGGTGAGAAAAAAAAATTATTGTGTACTATATTTCCACACAAGTTGTCGAGGAAATGGGAGGTGATGATGTGTTTTTGTTGTTCTTACTGGTAGGGCTATCCAGTTAATCAAATCAGGCCGTGGCCTCTTCAGCCACGAAGTAATGGTACAACAAGACCCAGCTTATTAGACATAGAAGCTAACTTCGACAAGACTGTAAGTTCATTTGAGATGCCTTAAGATACACTTTTTGGATTAAGAATTTCTTTTATTAATAACCTGGTTTTAAAACTCAAAGAAACACACTAAGTAGGATAATCAAACGTTCCTGTTTGTAATACAAACGTCTGTATTAAATAAGGCTGTTCGTGCATTCCTTGTGACATCGCATGCCCTCATCCGAGGAGTTTTTTTGGCTTTTGATATTCCATAGAACTGAGTTACCTTCTCCACATGAGTAGTAAACTATGAATTTTTGTTCGTTCCTAAGATTTCTTTTATTTCCTTTTTAGCTGGGGCAGATTGTTGACGGCTCTCAGTGGTTTCTCTTCGTAGAAACTGTTGATCCTGGTAAGGCTGTGATTCAAAGAAACGATTCTGATTGCCTGAAAGAAACCAATCTGAATGATTTTATTTACCATTTCAACTAATGAAAACATACACTGATTCAGTCTTTTCCTTGTATTTCACTTGTTTGCTATACTTGCTCGCTACATTTTAAGATTTTGAAATGCCAAACAAAATGGTAATGTAATTTTAAAAACTATAACAGTCTATTCGTGCTGGTGTATAGTACTTAACTGACATTCAATCTAACTTCAGTGTTTTTTTTGTCTTTATAGAGGATGGTAAAGTAGGCTTACCAATGTTCGACAAGCAAAGTGAGTCTATAATGCTAAGCTTTGACGGGGTGGAATTGATTTAGAAAGAAGCTATACACTTGAATCTTTACAAGCTACTACATCCATACGAGCACCGTGCTCTTATTATTTCCCTTTGCTAATAGGCAGGTCACCTTTCATGACCCTACAATTCAAAATTCTGCAAAAATCGCAAATGTTGACCAATATTAAAGACCATCCCTGTATTTCACTCCAGTGAGCGTAAGCAATAAAAGACGGTAAAGACGGCAATATACATTAAGTTACTGTATTTTGTTACCCTCACGCCTTTGATCACATGAATGCGGGAAAGGTCTGTAGCCCTGCTCTCACTGATCTTGAAATTCTGCTCGTTTGTGTGGTCGTAATAACGTGGAGGTCGTGTAAACAAGGAGATCGAAATGAAGGGCTGCACTGTACAGAGAAATAAACAGCTTTAGATGCAAGTACGTGATCACTGAATGGCAGCACAAGATGTTATATGGTAAAAAGCAAGAAGTTTAATTGGACCTCTCCTTACCGCAGACACTTCTCTATTACAGCCAGTTTTCATAGTTCGAAAAATACTCAACTTGATACTATCCTTACTTCTTAAGGACACCTCTGTGATTAGGACACTTAGCTATACCCCTTTGGTGTCTGTATTAATGAGGTTTGACGTAACTTTACGTGTCTCTGTGACCTACTATGTTAGTAAGGGTAAGTAAGTAACGTTTCTCATTACAGCTCAGCTTTGTTTTTTTGCTACAGATGACGTGTTGTTATTCTTCAAACACTACGATCCGAAACAGAAAACTCTAGCTTGTGTGGGGCATTTATACACTCCTTTATCTACGAAGTTTGGTAAGCTAAAGAAACTGAAGTGTGATAATCTCGTGATGTTGTGGTTCGTGTTGTTTAGCTAGACTTTTTTGTCCTGTCATGCACCAAAAGCCAGTGACGCCGGAATGTTTTCACGTGCAGTTTTAACAAATCTTTGCGTCCAGAGCAGATTGTTAGCAAGGTGTACTGTTATTGAGGAGTCTTTGATATCAATTTGTTAGATTTCTCAGTCCTTTTGGAGTGCTTGGGTGTATTGTCATTTGTAATAGGCTTAGGCTATTTCCACACTAGGCAGTCTAAAGTCGCGAACTTCAGCGTCTTCAGCTTTCCTCCACAGGTTAACTATCGTAAATGGATATTTTTCAGTTATGGTCTCCAGAGTAAATCATAATATCACTTCAGTATCGTTAATCTTATGGTGTGGACTCGTGCAGATATATCCTGAAGCCGCTGATGACATGTTTGTTCCCAACATAGGCACAAAATAAACGATATTTCAAATTGTCATTCACAGGTAGAAGCTGTCTACGATTAACATTTCTTATTCTGTTGCTTCTTAGTTGATGTCATTCCAGCGCTGTGTGAGCGAGCAGGTTTGTCTCAGGGAACATCGATAGCCATGTTTGAGGTGAGATACTGCTACCTTACCACACAATCTGCTTGACTCGGGAACATTTTCACATCATTGTCTTTTCTTCTTATAATGTCTCATGTAATTGAATTGCTGCATTTTAGTTTTCTAAACGATGCAATGAGTAGATATATTTTAAATTTTATTCTGATTCACAGGAAATAAAAGCCACCTACGTAGAACAAATAAAAGACTTGAATGTTACCTTTGAACGGGTGAGTTTTTAATCTGAGTTAAATAACTAGACTAAGAGTTTCTCTGCAAAACTCAAGAAGTATAACCCATAACACAGTTTGTTTTTAGATCGTCACTTGGTTGTAGTCATATTCAGATTTATTTTCTTTGTTGCTCTTGGCGAATCTGAATATTATATGAGTTCACACTAGACGCTAAGTCGGTTTTAAGCAGACTCAGCCCAAGTCAACCTAAGTCAGTCTAAGAACGCTTTGTGACTTATTTTTTTCACAAGTTTCTTCCGGCTGTGGTGGGGAGTTATCTAGGGTAGAAGTGCTAGGCTGTGAATCTGACGTTTCCAAGTTTACTGTTGGCGAAACGCTTCCATCTGTCTCACCCACTACATTTCCCGCCATTTCGCTTGACTTACTCTTTCCTGGGATTACACTTGACGCACTGATCGTCATTCGGTCTGGATTGAACGCATCTACCGAGCCCAATATTTCGTATAATTCGCTGTAGAACTTGCAGCCGGCTTGAAGTTTCTTTGCGCCCTCCTCACTTGTGGATGCCAGTTCGTGCTTGGTGGTATTCGTATTCGAGGGTCTTGATCCTCTTTTTGTCCTGTTCGAAGTTCTTGTTAGTGCTCAACCCCAGTTCTGCACTGTTACTTAAAACGTTCTTTAGGATTTGGCTCCATAAAGTCTTTCTTCGAGGAACAGAAACTAACTTTAAAGATTCGTACTGTGCACCCCAGTAATCCAGCAGTATGTTTGTTTCTTCTACTCCAGCCGACTCTGGTGCGAAGTAGAATCCGTTAGCGAGTCAGAGTCCGACGCAGAATTCAACATAGCAGAATAGTACGTGAAAGACCCCATCCAGGTTGTTCTTGGTAATCGCACTACGGGTCTATAGAAAGACACGATAGGAAATCCTTGAGCCTTGAGAAAAAATTATGGACGCAACAAAATGGCTAAACTTACTTTGAATATGAGGGGAAGAACGTGGAAGACGGCACCCGTAACGAGGGATTTTGACTGATATATTTTTCGAGCGTTTGACAGATTTTTCTTATCAGAACCGATCATGCTACCTTTAAAGCAAGCGTCAAGTGGTGTTTGCAAGAGTCTAATGAATGTCTTAGCCCCTTTGAGTTTGCCGCTCTTAAGTCGGGACTTCAGTTCACACCTATGACTTTTGTTAAGTCGACTTAGGAGGCGTCTAAGACAGATTTAGTGGTCTAGTATGAACCCAACTATATTATACATGGTGGGTGGGAGCTTTAACAGCTAAAATATAAAGATTGTGACTGTACGTTAAAGTATCAGTGTTTTTATTGACGTACTTGGGTAACTTCACGAGAGACAAGTTGCATGAACGATGAAGTGATGAATTGTTGGTCACTACGGGACGGGCGCTATATCCACCGTGCTATGGAGACACGCATGAAGAGCAATGCTATTGACTACGTTCATGTGTGACACGCAACAAGTGAAAAAGGTCTTGACTGTAAAAGAAAATTATCCTCTTTAAAACTGTATGGAATGTATGCAGAAAATGATGGAGTTCGTGCATACTGTCCCTGATATTAGGGTTTTAAGGATCACTGGAATGTTCCCTTAGAGGGCTGTGAGAGTGGTGCAAAAGTGAAAGATGGAATTGAAGGGTGTGATTCGCATAGCATTGAAGAGAAGAAATCATGGAAGTCATGTTAGCTAACAGGTGTATTATTCAGCAAAAGTCACTCACTAAAGATTTTATTGTGTTTTGTTAACAGGGAGTGGACGAGCTCATGGATGGAGACATCATTTGTTTTCAGAGGTCTGTAGTTCTTAATTTCTTGTTCCTTGTTAGTAATATCGAGATTAAAATACATATTAAATAATATTCCTTTTCATGGATTTGTTATCTTTGAGGTCATATAGACCCCATCATATACCCGCCTTCACATAACGCATAAAATCTCCCGCCGTTTTAACGCCCAAAACAGCTAAACCGCAGCGCTTGTCTTTGTGTGACGTTGTTGGGTTCCTGTTTCAGTCTACTATTTTTTCAGCGTGAGGTGAACAGCGAACATCTCCCAAATGTAGTTTATGCAAGGTGTTACACGATGAAGAATTACTCGGGGAATTAAAGGAATATTGTCAGTAAATGTTAATGTTAGCTTGTTGTTCTGCGCAGGTGGGATCAAGATCTTTTGACCACAAGTGAATTACCAACCGTGAACGATTATTTCAGGTAAACTACAAGAAAGAGTTTACTTGAGCATTGTGCAAATAATTGATTTATTTCGATCATTGGGATCTGTTGTGACATGACTGTGAACTGAACAAGCTGCATTATGTTTTTCTGCAGAGATCTTCACAACAGAGTTGAAGTTTTGTTTTGTGACAAGAATGTTGCAAACGACCCAGGTTTTAGTGTTACCCTTTCGCTGAGAATGAACTACATGCAGGTACGGTATTTTTGTATCTTTGTATCATGCGTGTCATGTCTCTTCATTCTTCTGTTGTTGTTTTAACATTTCTAACAATAATCAAGGATTCCGGGGTGCTTTCGACCGATCTGGATCCTAGGTTCTCTTTCTCCTATGAAAAATTGGTGATGAGGTCATTAGCCCCTTTAAGTGTTTGGTAGATTTCAAGAATGTATATACTCTTTTTATCATCATTATTTTCTATCCGGGATACTTATCATGTATGTAGGTAGTCTGTGTCGCCCATTAGCTGTAAAGCTAAATACTTTGACACGTGAATAAAGTTTTCATTCATTCATTCATTCTCACCTCAATCTGTATCAGGGGTGTGTTCTTCTGCGTCGAACGGATATAATAAACTAAGCTAGTAGGATACATATATTCCAAGGAGAGAATAAGAATAAATAAAATGTAGGAAAATTGCAGGGTGGTGTTCAAAACTTTGCTTGCCGACTCGTTAACGGTGAGAAAAAAAATATGATCATGCAACCCCGAGTGGACCAACTATATTATCGCCAAGCTATTATGGCCTTCAAATACGTGACCGGCCAAGCCCCTGAATATCTTACTTCCCAAGTTATTACGTGTGAGCAAGTTAGCAAACGAACAACTCGGAGTTGCCAAAAGCTAAACATCCTTCTTTTCAGAACAGCCTCCGGACTGAGAACTTTTTATTACGGGACTATTGAGCTTTGGAACAATGTAGAACCTTCTCTTAAATTAAGCCAATCTGTTCACGTTTTAAAACGTCTCCAAAGGAACCAGCTTTTAGATAATTTTGTAAATGCTTCTTAGTTAAGTTTAAAAATATTGTAATTATCAATTAGTGAAGCATTGTAATTAACACTAAGTTTAGTGTTGTAATTAGTTAAATGTAATGCTTGTAAATAATGATTGTTTCTGAAAGCCCCTTTGGGAGGAAACAATAAAGTATGTATGTGAGTATGTATGTATAATAAAGACATCCTACACTGAATATTCATCAGAGTAACTTTGCGTTGACCTGTGATTGACACAACGAAAGAGTGGTATTTGTGATGTTGAACTGTCAGACCAACAGACGACTGTCACCAGAACCTGCATAACAAAAATATAACATAGGAATAACATTGGTCGATTTCTTCTCTTTTCTACAATCCATAGGTTGCGAAGACTGTGTCAGCACATCTCGAGGTTGATCCGATGATGCTACAATTTTTTAAAGGACAAGCGTAAGTCGGCGACTTTCATTTCAGTGAAATAAAAGAACCATTTCATTTGAGTGAAAGCATATACGAAAGGGACACATTCAGTTTTCTGAATGGCCCGGCTTTCTGCCCTACTCTTGGCTTCGGCCTGTGGCCAGTAAGATAAACAGTATGTTGTCTCACCTATATTGCAGTCATTTAGGAACAAATATTACCAATATTTCACTTACGCAATACCAATAATTCATCCAAATTGCAGATATCGCGATGCTCCTGGAAACGCACTTCGGTGCACCTACGAGGGAACACTTCGAGATCTGTTGATTTATTACAAGCCTCGTGGACCTAAGAAACTCTACTACCAAATACTTACTATTCCTATAGACCAACTTGAAAACAAGAGACAATTTAAATGTATTTGGGTGGCCAACCAGTTTAAGGAAGAGAGAGAACTGGTGCTGTTTCCAAACAAAGACGGTTCAGTGTCAGATCTGCTAAATGAAGCTCGTGAACAAGTAGACTTACAGCAAAACGGCACAGGAAAACTTCGGCTTCTTGAAATCATTAGCTCTAAAGTTTTCAACATTGTCGCCAACGATGTTCCTCTTGAACATCTCATCAGCCAAGCTCAAAGAACGTTCAGAATAGAAGTAAGTTTACTGAACAGTTTGTCATTATTAACGTCATCGTCATCGTCATCATTATCATCAGGGATTGCAGTAACTACCACGTAGCAGGGTTAAAAAGCTCATGACGAGCTAAATACGGTCCCTGAACCTGTATATTGTCTTTTGACTTGTTTTGTTTGTAGCGTTTCCATGAGAAGGGAGGTTGCTGGGCTGGTCCTACAGGGGCGGGAAAACCTACAATGGTTTCCAATGCGAAGCAATATTTATAACACTTTTAACAATCCTCTCGTAACCTTTTCTCCTTCCCTTCCTGAATTTTTTTTAATTCTTCTCTACCCCACTTTGCATCTTCATCATCAGTACCATCACTCGTGAGCTTTCTTACTATCAATTTTAACTGTTAGCCAACGGAATGTTTTTCCTGACAAAAAAATGGTGAAGATCTACAGTTTCACCTCTTGGATCAAGGGATATAAATGTATAACATAGAGCATAGAAGTTACGGAATGCAACAATGTCGAAAATAGCGTTTAACCTAGCAATTTTTTGTCAGTACTAAATGAGTAACAACTTTTTTCAGGAAATTCCCGAGGATGAAATAGAACTAGGAAAAGATGAAATTTTAGTCCCAGTGGCGCACTTTAATAAGGTAAAGCGTGTAACACTTTTTCCCCGTATTTTAAGAACGCCGACTTGTTTTAAAGCTTGATGTTCCCTACCCAACCTTTCTGAAGTTTTTTTTTTTTTTTTAATGTAATTTTCTCCTTCCGGCAGGAAATTTATCAAACATTTGGGACTCCGTTCTTGATCAGAATTACCGACGTAAGTACTATTGTTTTTGTTCGTAAGCAATTCTGAAAACTTTGAAATCCACGGTGTAAGGTATCTTTCACTATTAAACAATAAATTTAAGCTTTGTGTGAAAGTTTGCTTTTTTCAGTTTTTTTTTCTTGTGAGATGGTAAATAAAGTAGTAGGAGCACTTTGAAAATACTTTAAGTTTGTTTTAACACTTATTGAAGGCTGCCCTTTGCTTCCAGGGAGAGACGATAAGCAAGTTTAAGGAAAGAGTAAAAGAAAAGATCGATATTCAAGATAAGGAATTCGAAAAGGTGAGTAGTGAATTTTCAGTTGTAGGTTCGCACGCTCGTTGTTCGAAAGGTACAGTCTGTACACGGTGCAACCGCCTCTTTCCCTGTCCCACACCCACGAAAATCTAAGGTACTTCGAGGAATTAGGCGTTCATCGTAGTCCAAACACTTAAGTTATATAATTTCTATGAATATATGAGTTTCCGCGCATATTGGTCGAAAGTTATTATCTCTTTGATATATAGGTAAAAGAAACTACTTAACAAATGTTAAACGGCTCAGCGTGTACTATTGAGTTATATTACAGAAAACGTATATATATTCTTGCGCAACTTTTAACAAATAGTTGGTGTTGAAGAATAGTAGAGAGCTTTAGATTCGAGGACGTGGACGACTTCGAGTACGAAATTTTCTCAGTACTAAGTAGTGCACGCGCGTGAGCCAGCGTCATTTTGGCGGGAAATCGTGGTAGCCGTAGTCATTCTACATTGGGTCTTAACGAGAATGTCGTAGTGGCGGGAACAAGTTATCAAATGTAAGAAGTTTTATCGTTTTGCTATCGGGAGAGGGCTTAGCCTGTTACAGTATAAATACTGAAAGAACAGAAAAAGAAAAAAAGAACACGCGCAAAAACGTTAAGTTAAACCTCGTACTCGTTCTCTTCATCAAATCTATAGCTCTCTATTTTTTTCTGATATATTTTGCCCCAACAGCCGAATCTTCTCCTGTCATTACTAAGTTATAGTTGCACGCGGGAGTTTACTAAGCACGAAGGAAGAGTGAGATTCGGACGAACGAAAGCCGAGTGCGACTCTGCAGCTTCTTGAATGCTTAGCAATCCTCCCAAGTGCAACTATAACACAACAGTGCACTCTACTATGTAGCGCTTGGGGTTTGAGGCATTTTAATTCAATAACTTGTCTGTTTGCCTTTCCAGGTTAAATTGGCCGTCATTCACATGGGACGTGCCATATACCTCACAGAAGGTAACAAGTCTATGAGTTGTCTTTTCGTATTTTAAGCCTGTTAGAGAGTTGACAGTTCTCTATTGTTAAGTCACTTGTAGCATTTGACTCCTGAAGGTTTTCTTATTACGTTTTTATGGTTTCTGCTAACCACACTTTCGTAGCTGATTGTTTTAATCATTCAAACCGTGACATAAGCGAGTGAGCTGTTATTTTTTTCCGTTACAGAATCAGACAAGTCTATTTCAGTCAAAGATTTCCTTCCACAGACACCAGGTAATTAAGAAAAAATGTCTTACGTGTTTTCGTAAGATTAAGCCTCCTATGTTTGGTATTACAACAGTCCATGTTATTATGTGGCCCTCAAAACAAACTTCCTCCACTAAAAGTTGATGCCGACACTGCTTTTCCAGCACAACAGTAGAGGACTTTTTATGAAGGGAGCCTTTTATATGTTTTCCTTTTCTTTCGGATTCTCCCCGTACCAAGAGCTCTTTTGAACGTCGTCGGAAAAAAAACATTTTTGAGTCAATACTTAGCAACATGCTAAATAAACCCTAAATTGAGACGGAAACCTCAAAATGTTAATTTGAAGAAATAGAAGAACACCACAGAAGAACACCCTCGGTACTCAGTGTCCCCCTGATAAAGGTTGGGCGGGGTTGTTAATAATTAACCAACGAAGACAACATTTTTTGTGGTATTCTGCCTCGGAATCTGCTGCATTATTATTTTAATTGTTTTCTCTTTGAATTCTCACAAGTTCAGTATTTTAAGAATACTGTCATCATTGTAACTACCGTAAAATTCCGAAAATAGGCCCCGGGGCTTATATTTTTCAAAGGCCCTTTTGAGGTGCTTATTTTTGGAGGGGCTCATCTACGGAGGGAAATTTGCGTTTCAAAATCGATTGGGCTAGCCCTATAGTTCGAAGTAAATTTACCGTTTTTGCTTTGTTTTACTTTGTATGTGAGGGCAATTTCCAAGTACAAGCCCCTGGAGGGCTTATATTTGGAGGGGCGATTTAACAGAGGGTTTTTCGCGTTACCGGTTTGGGGGGGCTTATATTTGGAGGGGCTTATACACGGAGGGGCTTATTTTCGGAATTTTTCGGTAGTTTATACTTATCAACCCTCTTGGTGGTCCGCCACGTTTTGAATACTACGGTGTACTCCTGACTGTGGAGGTTGCAAAAGGGTTTGGGGACCCAAAAAAAAGTGTCCCTTTCCCCTTAATAGTGATGTCCCTTTAATAGAAGTAACAGATACAAAGATTGTGTGACATTCAACCATGACCAAAAAGTTTCTGTCCTCTGAATGGCGGTGTCCCGTTGAATAGAGTTGTCCCAAAGGAGAGGTTCTATTGTAAAACTATTAAAGATGATTTAGGATCGAAGAGATTGAACATGTTTCTAACGACAAATTTGGCCGAATGTTTCTAAGGTACAATAACCATGACGTAGCTACCTTAAAACTTAACATACTTGTTGCGTTCTTACGAATATAATGTTTTTATGATTTCTCGTACCCAGGCGCCCAGAGTATTAGTAAACCATGGCTTGGACTCGACCACCTAAACAAGGCTCCCAAGCGATCACGGTATAGCTTCCTGGAACGACCAATCAAAATACACAACTAAAGCATCTCAGATTGCTTTGTTTTAAACCACAGCGAGTGTTTTTAGTTCGACTTCTATGTGTAGAAAATCGGTGAAATTAAGTTAAATATGGAGAAAAGTGGCCGAATAGGCAATTCATTGCTGGCTCGACAATTTTGTACATTTGTAAAGTCTTTTTTTTCCCTTGTGCCAGTTTTTATGTTAGTTCAGAGCAATCTTATACGTATAATGAGCAAGGCTTTTGAAGCTATGGTGCCTGTACTGTATAGTGGTATTAATTTTCCATGTCGTGCAAAGGTATTGAGGAAGAATAAATTAAAATGATTCCTTGAATATTTGTTCAGACTAGTTATCTTCTTCTCTGTTGGGATGTAGGGGCTTTATAAGCTCATTAGGACCACACAATGCATTATGTTTCTTACAATACACCGTTGAATCGAGGCGGGATACTCTAGTACGCTGAGGTTGCAGTGACGCTTGCTAAAAACCTGCAACTCCATCAACATACACCTAATTGCAGTTAACGTTGTCTTAGAAAAATGAAAAAACGAAAAAGCCAAATAGGAATTTAATTAGGCTAATTAAGCCACATTCTTAGCGTGGATTCATTTGCAGCCATTGCATTTCCCTGCAGAAATGTTTTTAGTTTTTTTTTCAGCTTTAAACAATAGCAAATTCCAATAGGCAAATACGAAGTCCATGTGCGGATGCTGCAAATGAATTCATTAGGCTTTGCAGTTGGGTGTGCCACTGTTTTCAAAAAGAAATAGAACCAACACCAGAAATGTTAGTAGAAACGGGGGAAAAGGTTTAGTTGATGTTCTTCGAACGAGCACCACAAGCAGGAATTTTATGAAATACAAAATAAACAGTAAACTGATGCCTGCAAGTTAAGTCGTGCATCACTTACAGGTTCTTTAGACCTGAGGAGGGCGTCACCTTTTTGAAGAACTGCTTTTTGTGATGTAGGGTGGCTCCCGTGAGTATTTACTTATAACCCTCGCTGTCTAGCATGCCTTACAGAAGGAAACCTAGTTAGTTTGTCTTTGATTTTGATTAAGAGGTTGGTTGCCCATGTAAGAAGTCCTATTATGGCTCTTGAAGAAAGCTCATTTATCAAGTTTTATTATTCATTCAAAATATTTTCCCGATTTTGATTGGCTAAAAGCACTCGTTTAATTCACCATAACCAGTTACTGATGACCAAATTTGGAAGAATTTTGTGTTTAACGAGGAAATGACGTCAAAAATGCAGCGTTTTTGCAGGTTAAGGCACCGTCAACCGAGAAGACCTGGGAAAGAGGTTGAGTTGTTTTGATCGTGAACTTGAAAAATGGCGGACATTTCACTCGTTTCAAGAGTAAGAACTAGGCGAAAACACAGCTAAAAAAATCGCAAGAACAGCAAGAAGACAACTCGAAGGGCGACATCTGCTATTTGGAGAATATTTGCGGAGCTGGACAAACGTGCACTATCGAAGATGAACTTAACATCGATGGATCGATGGAGGTTAGCATGTTTTAGCCATGTTTTTAAACTAGAAATTATTTTGAATGAATAATAAAACAATTATTGAATTCGGCTTTCGTATCATATGAAGAATTATGGAGAACTCGGAGGGTGTTATCCGCCTCGGCCTACGGCCTCGACGGATAACACCCTCCTCGATCTCCATAATTCTTCATAAGATACTCAGCCTCATTCATTAATTGTTAATTATTTTCTGGATAAAGGCCGTTACCATTGCATCGGGTAGACAATTTAATATTTTGTCATTTTTGGTCATTTTTTCTTAACATTTCTAATTTTCCTCGGTGAAATGTCTTCAATCTTTGCCAAATTATATTAACGATATTTAAAGTGGAAAAAACATGGGGTCGTTAAGACGGTTTTGCCAATATTCCCTTATTGAGGCGATTTTTAAAAAAATTGACCGAAGGAAAGGTGAGAAAATTTGCGGTTAATTTTACTTTTTTACCGCTCTGACGTCACGAAAATTAGAAAAACACGCGTGGTCCGAGGTTGTATGAGCAAAATATGCGCGTGAGCCATCACGTCCGGATGCGCACAATGAACATAGCTACTGAAAACATGGTTTGTTCGCGATCGAAAAGTGCGAAAGCCATTCTCGAAGCCGTTTATTAGTATTATTATCATAATGGTGTTATCTCGCCTGTTGTAAATTAGGAGAGATAAGAAATTCAATTTTATACTTAACACTGGATGTTCTCTTCGAAGTACTTGAAGCCAAAATTCGAGGCGTGGTGGTTACTTGTTGTGACGGCGATCATAGGAGATAAAGAAGGTGGTTACGTTGTGTAAGGATCGCAATAAGCCCTTCATTTTCTAAGCTGCTGTACACTGTTTGCAGATCTTCAAATGCCAGCCCACTTCCGGAAATTTTTCAACCATGTTCTTCTTTAGGTAATGCAGATGGCGAAGAACGTCTGCACTAAAAGATCCTCAGCTGCATGTACCACAGGGCACCCAGAATCACGACAGCCTACTGCTAGCCAAATTATAAGGATTTGTATGAGATCGTAAGATCCATAAAACGGTTGAAATGAACAAAAACAAGTATTAAAGAATACATACCCCATAAAGAGTTGTGTCTGTGTTGTTATCTTAGTCCTGCTCTATAAACGCCATTTTAGCATGAAACCAAAACATTAAAACTTGCTAAAATGGCGTTACTTTATAGAGCAGGAAACAGTAAGAAAACAACACAGGCACAACTCTTTATGAGGTATGTATTCTTTAATAGCTGTTTTTGTACATTTCAACCGTTTTATCGATCTTAAATTATATTCTCATACAAATCCTTATAATGTGGCTTGCAGTAGGTTGTGATTCTTGGCTCCCTGTGTGTGTACTCGACTATTGTTTTCGTCAAGGGTCAATCTCTGACTCAAAATTGTTTTTCGCTTTGCAAAAAACATCTTGTGCATAAGCGTTGAAGGAACAAGAAAAAGTACAAGGATGATTGTTTCGTCTTTGGAAAGGTTCCTTCAGGGGTTTGCAAGTAGGAAACCTCTTCTTTTGATACGTTTTTTTAAACAATGTGATAGAGTCGGCAAAATAAAAAAAACCGTTCACTGCCTCTAATCTTTCCGGTTAAAGTCACTTTTAGAATTTCTTTAATCAAATCAAATGTAAGAGAACTCAATTGACCGGGAAGATCAGCCGGTTAAGACATTGCTCAATGTTTGTTCGGGACTTGGCTCGATCTTTCAGATTTTTCCACTGACTGTGAACCAAAGTCTAGAAATCGGCAACATTTCTTCCTTCAAGGGTAGTGTACTTACTTTTTGTTTCTTTGTAAATTTTCCTTTCACCATTTACCTAAAAAAAAAAACTAGAAATAGTGCTTAGTTTCACTAAGGTCTAAAAACAGTACAATAAGTGAAGGAAAATTATCTTATTCAACAGTTGTTCAGTAGTTCAAAGAACACCTTGCCAATATGCTGAAAACGCATGATTCGACATTTTGATTCAAATATACGTTATTAGATCATTTCCTTTGAGAAAGAGTGGAGAGGTACACCAACCCCTCTATTATCTTACGGTCAAAACACAAGCCATAAAATGAATTAGCAATGTAATTATTACTCCAGAAGTCACCTGTTCAGCTTTTTGAAAATAGCAAAAGTATCGGAAACGCAGGACTTAATAGCTAACACAGTTGGCTTCAAAGAATACGTTTCTCGATAATTTCCTTTGAAGGTGTAGTGGCGGAGTAGGAGTCCAGTTGTAATAACAATTTCTTGATAGCTTGTACGAAATGTCCAAACAGGTATTGTGAATCACAGGCGACAGAAAATCATGGAAATCGAAAATGTTTCTCCCTCTACAATTTTCATGGCTGTACTTCTGATATCCGTAGCTACTGTCGCAGCATTTGGTAATGGTTTTGTCCTTGGTATTCTTGCCCGATTTAAAACTCTTTGCACTTTCCAAACATTCTGATCGCGAACCTCGCTGTGGTAAATTTTTTAACCGGAATCATTGACATGCCTATGTACCTGCTGTGGAGCGTTCTTAAGGTAACATAGTTCACAGGAAAGACTTTGGCAATTCTTTTGATTTTATCGATCAGTCTATTTACTTTTATTGGCAAAAACCTCTATGCTGGTGTTACTGATCAACGCATTTCTGGCAATTACGTTCGACCTTAGATGAGGGTCTCAATGGGGTGGTGGCTTTTACGGTTATCGGCTAAAATTTTGGCTCTTTTACGGCTATCGGTTAATTTTTTTCAGTTACGGTTAACGAGTTAAAAATTAACTTCTTTTGTTTCAAAAAGTTAAATATTAATTAACCTGTATTTTTTGTATCTTTAAATCAAAATAAAGGTCTTGAGATCATCTCGGGATGAAATAAGCTATTCTTTTCAAAAATTTCAACATTTGATAGATATTATTTTACACATAGAAATGTCAATAGTCAATTTAAAAATAATCTTTGTGAAAAAGCAAAAGCAGACACGCGAACGTCCAACTGAAGGCCGGGGCGCGACATTCATTATAACAGAAATGGCCGTTTTCACACTAGAGAAGGATTATTCGTGTGAGACGAGTTATCCGTTTGATGATTCGAGTCAGATAGGTGATACGTCTTAATTTGGCAATAGAATAGTTTTAATTTTGAATGAACAATCCGCCTGACTTTTGAAGACAGGATTATCCGTTCCAGATAGCCTGTGTACAGCCGCGCCCTCCCCTCAGAAAAAAATCGGAGAAGGGATGTCTGTGGGGAGGGCGCGACTGTGCACAGTCTAGTCTTAAACGGATGATCCATTTCTAGGACTAGTGTGAAAACGGCCAATAACAAAATTCCCGTGTCCAGTGTTTTTAATGATAGCGAAGGACTGTACGGAACGACTGTCTGCCGTTGCCTTGTCCGTAGGCCGCATTATTCCGAGCGGCTGATGCCTTTCTGGTCACGTGGTCCGAGCGAGTTCGCCACTAAAATGCCTTGACCGAGATTGCATGGGAAGACGCCGAACAGGGACTAGGCATGGCGATGTCTACCGTAGCGTCCGAGAAAGACAGGGAAATGTTGTTTATCGGCAACGTGTTTTACAAACAGTGACTTCTCTGCGTGTTGTTTCACTAGTGTTTCGAGGGCACGGCTTCCTGAAAAATGCAAATATTAATCCCCAGCAAGAAGCCACACTTTCGCTATGGAAAAAATTAGTTCCCCAAGAAAGCGCCGGAAATGGAGCCTAGGTCTTGGTTAACACCTAAAAGGCGCTTCGCCTAACGTGCGTACGGAGTCACACTAGCCGGGAAATAAAAATGAGTTTAGTACCTTCCTTAAAAGAAGCAAATCTAGGGAACACTTTCTTTTACGGTTAACTCTTTTTTACGCTATTTACGGCTAACGGTTAAAATTTTTTTTATTTTTACGGCTATCGGCTAAATTTTTGGCCGTTTTACGCCTATCGTTTAACCCCATTGAGACCCTCTTAGATATTACACCTGGAAGACAAATGATAAGGCCATTGCGATAGTGGCTGTCGAGTGGTTGTCCTGTGTTGTCCTTTCATCGCTTTTCTGTCTTCAAGTTTTTTATATCGATCTCGGTAATGCTCCTGTGACTTTATATCACCACGTTTATGTAGCCAAGAATCTTACTTTTGTGAGAACAATTATGTTTGTGTTTACCGTCTCTACAATTGTATTTGGCGTCTTGGTGTTGTGGTGGTCAGTGCGAAGAAGGAAATTGCATGTTAGTATTGTTTGTCTTGTTTCTTTACTTCAGTATGTCCTTCGGCGGGAAGACGAGAATCTTGTTTTTGCGTTGCTAACTTTTCAAATGTTAGTATTGCTCCATCCTTGCGTAAATACATTTGTCGTTTACTCAACCAAAAGATGTTGAAGCTGAGTTAATTCGCTTCTCAACGATTCGAGTGTGGATTACTAAATGGCCGTTTTCACACTATATAGAGAGGGATAATCCATATTATTATATAGATACTGATGAAATACCAGGAGTTTTCCTTTTACTAAAAAATCATATCTTCATCGCGCGCAGTGAAGATACTACTTTTATCTTTCACGTGTGAGGATATTGGTGTCGCCATCGTTACTAACATGATGTTGTGTTTTATGTAGGAATTTCATCTGTATCTATAAAATAAACAGAACATTGCATGGCCGCTTGGGGATACGAATTTTATCTTCTAGTGCTGGAAGTATCTCTCACTCGTTCGCTTCGCTCACTCGACTCGTGAGAGATACTTTCAGCACTCGAAGGTAAAATTCGTATCTCCGCGCGGCCATGTAATATCCTCTATTTATTTAAAAAGGGGACGATTTCAATTTGGGCAGATATTCCGTCTGTTTATTCGTCGTTTTAAACCGGAATTTGAGGACGCATTATCCGTATAAGAAGAACAATTTGTCTTGAATTCCAACACCAAACAGATACACTTATCTCAGTTATTTTTACGTAAAAAGCCTGGAACGTACAGAATTTTTTACTTCTCATGGAGGTTATTTGCTAAACACTACACTATAAGTTCCTGGAAGCGGATTTTCAGTAGCAGGTCTAGATCGCACAATATTCGGATTTTATCGATTTGAAAGTTTTTTGTTTTATTGTCATAGTGATATCGATTTTACTAAAAACTGCATTTTGACAAACTTCAATTCATAGTCAATCACTGGTAAAAGTTCGTAGCGATCGGACAAGGATAAAATCACTTTTAAGGTGATTAAAAAACATCGGTATGGTCACCCAAAACCTGTATCGAAACACCTTATGGGCTGTTAGCGTCTCGAAGGGGTGTCGTAGGGGTGGTGGTGGTGGGGAAGCGGTTTCAGTGATGCAGACGTATGGGTAAGAATTCTTTTCCAAGACTATTACTAACGACCATGAGCGGGAAGAGAGAAGACTATATTAGCAGGCTATGGTCTAAACGACATCAAGAAGAAAGTCAACAACAACAACAACAATAACTTTATTTATCCACCGTTAAAAAATCATCAGACTAAGTGACTTACTATAAAATTGTAACCTATTTAATTAATTGAAACTTTAACTAATTAACTGTGATAAGATTCTTAACCAAAAAAAAAATTGTGCCTGCTTTACATGATCATGGCCGTGATTATCGACATATTTCAAAAGAGATCACCGCAGCCGTGTTTAAAAGGGGAAATAGTTTGTTCTTGCCGTAGCTCAATTGGTAGACTATTCCACAGCACCGAACCTCTGTAGCTGAAACTGTTTTTAACATAATTAGTACGGGGTAGTGGAATAGCTAGCTTGCCCTCGGAATCCCTGACAGAGAAACTAGAGACTTCATTACGATAGGAAGCAACGAATTCAAATATTGCGGGGCAAGACCATTTAGAGACTTAATATAAACCATTGACGCAGTTTGAATTTATCTTTGAGCCTCTAGCTTTTTCCAGGCTAAGGATGTAAAAAGATTGTCAACACTGGCATCATAAGGAGAGAAGGTCAAGATACGGGCTGCGCGATTTTGAAGTTTTTGCAGTTTAGTTGCAAGGGATTTGTTGCAAATCCCCCAAACAACGCTACAGTTATCAAAATATGTTTGCACTAAGGCGCTATATATAGTTGAGAGCACTTCAAATGTAACAAAAGGCCGACTTCTCTTCAAGATACCAATGCCAGAAGCAATCTCTTTAGCTATATTATCGATATGTACATTCCACGCTAAATTCTCATCACATATTCCAAGAGATTTAGTAGATACAACTTGTTGTATAGGGGCATTATCGATAAAGAGGGAAAGAGGTGTGAAAGTCTGCAACCTTTTCCTAGACCCGATTAACATAAATTTCGTTTTAGACTTATTAAGAGTATACGCCACTCATTAACTTTATTACTGGAAAAAGTCAAGTGTGTATATATCATCTGCATACATACGGTCTGTAGAGGACTCAAAAGCGGGTTATGTCAACAGACGCACCTTGGGCTGTGAAAAGGTTAAGATAGTGATTTATTCATTTTAAGAAGACGGTGCATTCATAGGTAGTTAAAAGGCATGCAGCGTTCTGTCTACAAGTAAGTATATGAAAGTGGTACCAATTGTCGCTGGGAGGTAAATGAAATGGTTACCTTTTCTGCCAAAAATGGTATTTAAAGGGTATGGAGTCGGACCTCGGGGAGGAGTATCCCCGTAGATAACTTCGTTGAGCTGCCCCGGAATTGTGCTCCCAATGAATGGTTTTCCAGTAATCGGAGACTTAGTTATGCGCACAGCATTATGGGATCGCCAGGGAGCAAACATTGCAAGTCGCTACAAAGAAATGTATTGTGTGGAGCTTTTTTCTCCGTTAAAAGCAGTGTCTTTGGACTTAAAATGTCGCATTTTGCTGTGATTTCATGAGAAGCGGAGGTGACTAATGTTGGTACGTTGATTGTACGTTTCTGTGGAATCAAGAAACACACACCTCCTTCTTGCAAAAGGTCGACTGTGAAATTTACTGAATGGTCTCGAAATGTGTAGTATTGACTAAGGTATAAATGAGCGGGGAATGAGGACTCATTTAAGCCTTTCTAGTTGTAGTTACATGCGCTGATATTTACAACGAGTGTTATTACACTCGGCTCGGCGGCGATCACAATGCTGTGCCGGTTTGTGACAACGATCCAAGGAAAGCTTATGTATTGTCGAATTGATATTTATTAACTTTAAAAACAAAAACACCTTCCTCGCATTGAAATATTGATTTCCTCTCGCCAAAAAAAAAAAAAACGCAAGCAAAATGTTTTGTTATGACCCAGAGCACCAATGAGTTCTAATGCCTTTTCCAATCATACTGAGAGAATAAATAGAATATCTGAGCTTCGCACATCAGATTGGTATTTATTTACACACTCACTGCTTTTGTATCGGAAGTCTTACTCGTTCGTAAGATTTCTGCCTCATCTACTAATAGTTAAATACCACGTACTTTTCATGAAATATTTCGTAGATGTTATTTTGTTTATACCAAAATAAAGGAGTATTTTTTATTTTTATGGCCACGTTCTGGGACTGTTCAGCTGGATTATTGTCTTGTCATAACCCGCACAGCGCCGCACAGCGCTGATCGCGGCCTAGCATAGTTACACTCGTCGTAAATGTCATCACTCGTAATTATAACTAAAAAGCTTAAATGAGCCAATCCCCCTTCATGTATACCTAAATTTGCACTATATATTTCGAGACCTTTTCTTCATCTAGATCACTGTGTAAACATAAATCTCCCCCTCGACGTCATGCAAGGAGTGTTAATCGATAGAATTTATCGCATTAATCACACAGAAACTTGAAATTTCAACGCACCAACATTAGTCACCTCCGTTTCTCATAAAATTACGGCAAAATACGGCATTCTTATTGTCCAAAGACACTGCTTTTAACGGCGAAACAACTCCACGCCATACATTTCTTTGTAGTGACTCGCAATGTTTGCCCCCTGGCCATCCCAGAATCCTGTGCGCAGAACATGAGTCTCCGATTACTGGAAAACAAGAGACTATAAGGGACCA